GATAAACGTTCCCTCCTATACCAGGAATCCTTAGGGCGTGGAGGTGCCTGTCTCTAAGGTAGTAACTTTTTAATTTTTAATACAATTTTACTTCCTTCAGTGCTTGGGGTTTGATGGATGAGTGGCTGCATGTCATATCCACAGGAAGGCCACATCGCGTTACAGCTGTTGAGTTCACATAGCGGGAGGAGGTGGGAGGATGTCACCTTCTCATGGATGCCAAGGGGCTCTTAGATCCTTAAGGTCTGAGTTCTGGGCTTTCTTGGGGGACCAAAGAAGGCTGTATTATTTTGTGTGGGGTGGGGGACCTTGCTCTCCCCCGGAGTGAACACACTCGTCAGCAGGCGGTCCTCCTGGGCCTCCATTTCTGTACAGGCCCTGAAGTCCGATGGCTGTGCCACCATCTCCCCCTCCTCCTCCTCAGCATGGGGGTGCCCCCCCCGCCCCACTGCTCTGCCAGCCTCCAAGCTTGCCGACACCTTCTCAGCTGGTGGAGTGACTCCGGTGCTCAGATATGCCTAGGACGCTGCTGAGACAGCGGGCAGGTGTGCCCTCTGTCCTGGATGTTAGAGTTCTAACAGTAGAGCTGGATGGACCCTCAAGTCCACCTCCTTGTCATGTGAGGAATAGACTTACCCACAGGCATGCAGCAGTGGGTAGCCAGGCCAGGACCATGCCGGGCTTGTGTCCACAGGAGTAGCTAACTTTCTAACTTGCTCCTGGCCTCCCTCATCCGTCTGGAGTGAGGTCACGTGGGTCCAACTCAGCAGCAAAGGTCCAAGGGGAAGGTGTCTGCGGAGCATAGCCGACAGGCCAGCCGAGTCAGGAGATGGTGCGAGGAGGGCGCCATGGCCTCGCGTCAGACGGTCTGTATTGTAGTAACTCCTCTGCTCCGTTACTTTGAGCAGGTAATTTCACCTTTGGGTCTCAGTTGACTCTTTCAAAATGTGCATAATAATCCCTGCCCCCACCAAAAAAGGCCTGTCCTGACCAGGTCAGAGGCATTTTGTCGGGATCAAATGCTACTGTGTGCCAGGCATTGCCTGTTGCTGTACATTTGATCCTCACAGTCACTCTGGGAGGGAGACTCTATTATTATTCCCATTTTTCAGATGAGAAAACCGAGGCTCATAAAACAGGCACTATCACAGCCTCAGCATTCTCAGCTAATTAAAGATGGGAGTCAGATTTAGATGTGAGTCTGTTTGACTCTAGAGCCCTGGGCTGGGTCCCAGCTGTGGCCCCTGCCGTGAGAAACAAACGGTAAAAGGAAAATGGAGTGAAAGCGCCTCGGACATTGCCCCATGCCATCTAGTTGCTGTTGGGGTTCAGGCTCCATCAGGTCTGAGGGCAGATGGATGGTTGGGCAGGGGCTTCCCCTTTCCAGGAAGTGTCTGGGTTCTGATCTTCAAGTTGGGTGAGTGGGTGGGTGGGGTTCTTCTGTGACCTGGAGCATGTAGATGTGTAGGAATGAACGCTGGGCCTTTTTTTCTGGGAAAAGGGAGATTGGGTGGGCAGGAAGGAAAAGTTGGTGTCTTTTTTCATGGTTTGAGTTGGAGGGAGTATCAGGAAGACATGCATGTTCTCAGTTTTCTTGTACTGTTGTACAGGCTGTACACTGCACGGCTCTAGGAAGCACCATTCACACTATAGTCTAAGTGAATGGCACTCCCTAGAGTGCCATTACACATGTAATGGCATGTGTACACTACGCATCATGCCCGATGGCCCTGGAGATGTTCCTAGTATGATAGCTCATGGTAAGCAATGATAGCAGTTAAAATTGAGAAGTTACTATGTAAGCACGTAGCATTTATTTTATCTCACCTAAGCCTCACAACAATCCTCTGAAGTTGATGCTCTTGTTACCTGTGTTTTACACATGGGAAAGCTGAGGCTCAGAGGGGTTAGGGGAAGTGCCCAAGGTCACACAGCCCCAGCTCTTCCCCACTCTGCCATGCTGCCTCTGAACTCCGTTGAGGTTGAAGGAAGGGGCTGTGGCAGGAACTTCATTACACACGAATAAAACCATCATCTGTGTGTCTCTTTTCTTCCCCCTGCGTGGCCCCCCCACAGCTGGACAAGATGCTGGACCCCCAGGTGTGGCGGGAGGCAGCCACGCAGGTCTTCTTCGCCCTGGGGCTGGGCTTCGGGGGCGTCATCGCCTTCTCCAGCTATAACAAGCAAGACAACAACTGCCACTTCGACGCCGCGCTGGTGTCCTTCATCAACTTCTTCACCTCGGTGCTGGCCACCCTCGTGGTGTTTGCTGTGCTGGGCTTCAAGGCCAACATCATGAATGAGAAGTGTGTGGTCGAGTAGGTGGCGCCTCTCCTCCCGTCCTTATTTCTCCCCGTCCACCTTACCCAGGAGGGGCCGGCGGGCCCTGGATGGAGAGTCCCCGTCCCCCCGGGCTGAGGGATGGCGATTGGAGGAGCTCTCTCTGTCCCCAGCCCTGGGCTACAGGGACAGGTTCAAAGATGTCTCTGTCGATGGTCCAGGGGGTCCTGCCTGGGTGTCTGGGAGGTGCCCCCGGGGTCGTGCCCACCCCTGCCTCTTGACCTGGCCCTCTCCCCTTTGTGCTGCAGGAATGCCGAGAAAATCCTGGGGTACCTCAACTCCAACGTCCTGAACCGGGCCCTCATCCCTCCCCACGTCAACTTCTCCCACCTGACCACCAAGGACTACTCGGAGATGTACAAGGTCATCAGGACCGTGAAGGAGGACCATTTCTCAGCCCTGGGCCTCGATCCCTGCCTTCTGGAGGATGAGCTGGACAAGGTGAGGGACAGGCTGCCCTTCCCAGGACGGGCAGGGAGGCAGATGTGGAAGTGCAGCACCCAGAGACAGGCCGTGGGTGCTGGAGCTTGGGTGTGGGCCTCAGAAAGCTGCCAGGGACTCATTCATTTACTTGAGCACCTACTGTGTGTCCAGAGAGGGAGAGAAGAAAGGAATCAGCCAAAACCACTGCCCTGAGGTGGGTTGGGTGTTGACGGGGAGACAGGCAAGACACACATGACGGATATCACAGGAAGTGTGCCGGGTAACTTTCACATTCACTGAATGGGTCGTACGGAATGCACTTGCAACAGTGCCTTGTACACAGCATGCAGAAAATAAGTGTTTATGTTAGCGTCTGCCCTTTGTGTCTGTCCCCTTCGACCCTCATGACAGCACTATGAGTGTTAATATTGTCCCCTATTTTATAGGTGAGTAGCCTGTAATGTGGGAGCTTGCTCAAAGTCTCACAGCTAGCAAGTAGGGGAGCCGGGGTTCAAATTCCCATGCTCTGAGTCACCCCTTGATGCTTCTGCCCCCTCCCCTGGCTGTCCCCACTCCAACTCCCACTGCCTGAGTGACTCTTAGCCCCTGGGGTGGGGTAGGGCAGGGGCATGCCATCCCCTCATTAATGGCCAGGCCCAAGTTTGGACACCTTGCTTCTATTCTCATTTGCACAGTGGGAAACTTTCAAAGTGACTGTTCTGTTAGAAGGGGTACCAGGAGAAAGACACACGCATAGGGTCCTGGGACCCAACTGGTGCCAAGGCTGACATGGGGCAGAGCCAGCTCCCATCAGCCTGGGCCAACCGTGTGCCCTTCCTCATGGGGCCAGGGAAGGTGATGTTTCCTTGACTTAAATCAGTCCTTAAGTGACTTATTTCCTTATGCACTGGTGTCTGAGCTCCATGTTCAAAGTCAGCTCCATTCCACTGGCACCATCCTAGCTGAGGGAGCTGTGTCCTGCTGCCCTGACTCTTCCCACGTGATCAACCGCAAAAGGGCCCAGTCTGGGGACGCCCACCCTGCTTTCTTCCCCAGGTGACTGGCAGCATGAAGGACCTCCCCCTTCCATGGGACCCTGCCCTGTTCGCACAGTGTGGCCTGGTTGTCTGAATAAAACTCTGAGTTGTAGCAGTTTTTTAATACAATACAAGCTCGATAACACCCGATGACAAGGATTACACACACAATGGGGGGCAGTGTTCCCTCACAATCACTGGACGTTTCAGGACAGCATAGAAGTGATGGCAGTGGGCAGTGTGGGGTCAGTTGCCCCCTGAGCAGGGACCCAGTTAAAGCAGTGGTCCTCAACCTTGGCTGCCCGTCAAAGTCACCCAGGGCTTTATGAAACCCTGATACTCAGCTTTACTTCCAGACCTATCCAATCGTTGTCCCCGGGGTGAGACCCAGGCGTTGTTGGTCTTAACGGCTCTGATATGATTCCACTGGACAGCCAAGGCTAAGACCACTACGTTAAAGTCTGGACTTCAGAGCTGAGAGTGGCCACAATTGTGGCTGAAGCAATCAGGGAAGACTTCTTAGAGGAGGAGGGTCTTGAGCTGGGCGTGTTTCTAAATGTGAGCATCTTCATCTGAATCACCTGGAGTCCTTGTATGGCTTGTAGCTTCCAGGTCTCACAGGTGAACTCTTGAATTGGTGTCTTACTCCCTGGGGGGGATTCTGGTGCCCTCTTGAGTTTGAAACCCTCTGGCCAAAAACAAGAGGATTTAGGTGGGGGCAGGAATCCCTGTGAAAGAGGGAATAGTTATTCCTAAGGCTCCAAGGGCAGAGGTAAGGAAGCAAGGGGCACTCAGGGGTGGGCGTGGGCCCTCACTGAACCCTCGCACCGCCCCGCACCCACAGTCTGTGCAGGGCACGGGCCTGGCCTTCATCGCCTTCACCGAGGCCATGACGCACTTCCCTGCCTCCCCATTCTGGTCCGTCATGTTCTTCCTGATGCTCATCAACCTGGGCCTGGGCAGTATGATCGGGACCATGGCGGGCATCACCACGCCCATCATCGACACCTTCAAGGTGCCCAAGGAGATGTTCACAGGTAACTCCTCCTGGCAGCCCCCACTGACCTTGTGACAACAATCAGGTTGTGGCTCTGACTTTAGAAAGACCCCATACCCAGGAGGTCCCCCACCCCCTCCACCACTGGGACACAGCTGGAGCCTGGCCGTGCCACCCAGAGAAGGGCGCTGATAAGCCAAGAGAAAGCTGTTTGGGAATCTGTGCCCAACCCGAGCTGGGAGACAGGCCTCTTTCTTGGTTCATTTTCTCCTCCCCCGAGGGCCTCCTGAGTTGTCTTGGGCAGGGTGGCCTCCCTCCACGCTGGCCTTGCACCCTGCTCCATCTCCGTCACCCCGAGCCCTGGGATGCTCCCCGCCTAGTAGAGTGAGAGTTCAGAACTCCAGCATCAGGACCCCCTCCTCCCGGGCTGGGCTGGGCCTGCTGAGGGTGGGCTGCAGGTGTGCTGTGGGGAGGGGTGGGATGGTAGGGGCCTGGGTGCCCCCCAAGACCCCTGGGCCCTGCCTGCCCTGCACCTTTGCCCCCACACCCGCCTCCCGGCTCTCTGTAGTGGGCTGCTGTGTCTTTGCATTCTTCGTGGGGCTCTTGTTCGTCCAGCGCTCCGGAAACTACTTCGTCACTATGTTTGATGACTACTCGGCCACCCTGCCGCTCACCGTCATTGTCATCCTTGAGAACGTCGCTGTGGCCTGGATCTATGGAACCAAGAAGTAAGGGGGATGTGGGGAGGGGTGGGAACAGGAGGAGAGGTCTGTCCCATCCTGACTCCCCGGAAAGGGCTGTGTTCCCAGGGCTGCTTGTGAGCAGGACGGGAGATCAGAGTCAGAATGTCAGAGCTAAAAGTGCCCTTACAGATCATTAGGGAAACTGAGACTCAGAGAGAGACGTGACCGCCCAAGGCCACTTGGCTGGTGAGGGGCAGAGCCAGGCTGAGGATGCAGGTCTTCTGGGTTCAGGCCCTGGCATCACCCTAAATTGCCTTAAATTACCATAGCTCTTTTCCTGGGTACCGACTCTTCAGAATTCTGCTAAGCCTGTTAAGCACTTAGTGGGTGTACAAGAGGCCCCTGCCCTCAAAGAGCCTAGAGACTCCAGCGCCTGAGTCACAGTTTTAGGGTGATGTACATGGGGGTGTGAGATGAGGTGTGGTTTTGGCCTTAAGTTTGGCATTGGGTGCATAAGAGAATTCAGCAGTAAGAAAGATCTGGGTCTCGTGGCCTGAGCCCAGGGCAAACCCACACTCACCGTCAGCCCCTGGCCTCGGGCATCATTGAAGAACAAATCTGTGTCCCCAGGAAGCCCTGGGTCGAGGTCCCTCCCACTCTCAGTGTTGGCTGTGGCTGTACCATCCTTGTCCTCAGCGAGGCCCTGGACTCTACTGACCCACAGCAGCGGGGCCCCTCCTCCCATGTCTGGACTTGGTCTTAGAATCAGGCTCTCTCAGGGGCCTGCTACAGCCATCTCCTTGCTGGGAGACGGCAGGAGGTGGTGAGGAGGGAGCAAGCTTGTGAGCCAGGGCTAGAAGAGGCTGCTAGAAGGGGCTCTGACTCTTCTGCAGTCTGGTGAGGCCCCTGTATCTCGCCAGGTATATATAGGATTATATAGGAAACTAATTGTATTGAAAATTAGCAAATTACTGTTTAAAATCTGATAAATGTGCTTTGTTTTTGCTGCATTAAGTTACAAGATCTAGCTGTGGGTCTAATAACAATGATAATTTCAAAGGAGTGATGAACACAAATGATGTAGGTATCAATTGTAATGTGATAGGAAAATATCTGATTTAATTAATCAATTGGTGACAGAGTCACAGGTACTGTTAGTATTACTGTGGTTGCTTGCATTTATAATGGAAAGAAATGCAAGATTTCAGTTAGGTGTTATTGGGGTAAAGATGACTTTTTTAAATGCCATTTGTGTACATGGCCTGCCAGCCTCCCAGAATTCCACCCACAGATGGGTGGTGAGAAAGGCCAGAGTCAGGGCCGACTTCTGCCTATGGACACTAGGGAAATGCACTTCTACCTCTTTTCCAGCAGGGGGAGTCGAGAGCTAGGCCGGTGAGAGTGGGGCTGGGCCCCAGAGAACACAGAAGCCCATTGGGCTTGCCAGCCTGCCCAGGGTGTGTCCCGTGGGCTGTATCACATCCCTGGGTGGGGCGTCATGTAGTGGGAGGAGGCTAGAGGAGGACAGCAGAGACTTCCCAGAGGCTAGCCAAGCCACAGAATAATACACCAGGAGCATTGAATGTGAAGAATAGAAGAGCCCAGGAGGGAAGGACTGGTCTGGGAAGGCTTCCTGGAGGAGATGGCTATGGGGGAAGGGGCAGGCACAGAGGGCCTGCCAACTGCTGGGCCCTCTGCTGCCCCTGGCAGGTTCATGCAGGAGCTGACAGAGATGCTGGGCTTCCGGCCCTACCGCTTCTATTTCTACATGTGGAAGTTCGTGTCTCCATTGTGCATGGCTGTGCTCACCACGGCCAGCATCATCCAGCTGGGGGTCACACCCCCGGGCTACAGCGCCTGGATCAAGGAGGAGGTGAGGAGTGGGGGCCCTGAAACCCCAGGGACAGTGGCATCTTCCAGGCCTTTAATGCAGCAGGCATAGAGATAAACCCTTATAAGGCAACTGTTGTGTGCCAGGTCCTGCCAGCGGCTTTGCACACCTGATCTGTAACCTTCACAACAGCCCAAAGAGAGAGATGGCATCATCCCCGCAGCACAAATGGGGAAACTGAGGGTCAGAAAGGTTAACGCACTTGTTCAGTCTTTCTGACCATGTTCTCTCTCCATGTCTGTGGAGGGACTCACCCATCCTTTTACAGATGTAGAAACTGAGACCCAGGGAGGCTCAGACCTAACCAAGGTGACCTGCTGACTCAAGTAGCACCCCCTGCTGACCCCGTCTCTGCCGGTGCCAGGCCAGGATGGTGGGTGGGGGTGGGGAGAGGGCAGGAAGAGGCAGTCCTGCAGGTCCTGGGAGGGTGAGGCTGTCGCCGTGTGGGGCGGCAGCCCTCACCGCTGTCCCCTCCTAGGCTGCCGAGCGCTACCTGTATTTCCCTAACTGGGCCATGGCACTCCTGATCGCCCTCATTGTGGTGGCCACCCTGCCCATCCCTGTGGTGTTCGTCCTGCGGCACTTCCACCTGCTCTCTGACGGCTCCAACACCCTCTCCGTGTCCTATAAGAAGGGCCGCATGATGAAGGACATCTCCAACCTGGAGGAGAATGACGAGACCCGCTTCATCCTCAGCAAGGTGCCCAGCGAGGCGCCCTCCCCCATGCCCACCCACCGCTCCTACCTGGGGCCCGGGAGCACGTCGCCCCTGGAGAGCAGCGGCAACCCCAATGGACGCTATGGGAGCGGCTACCTCCTGGCCGGCACCCCTGAGTCGGAGCTGTGACCACTGCCCGCACCCTGCCTGCCTCTGCCCCCACACCCAACCAGCCCACTTGTCCCGGCCTGGCCCCTCCCCCAGGCCAGGCCCTCTGCCCCAGGAGAGGGGCTCTGCCCTGCCTCATCCTCCACCTCAGCCCAGTCAACTTCTGCTCCCCAAACCTGTGTGGGGGTGCGGAGAAGCTCTGTCCCCCAGTCCAGGCCCCCAACTCATCTAACCCTCTGAGATCCTCTCACCAAATTGTGACTGAATAATTGAAATTCTGATTCTCCTGAATCAGAAATCAGAATCAGAAATCCTCATTCTCAGCACAGGGGAGACTCCAAGTGGCCATTTAGGGGTCACTCCACCCTCTCTCTCCCTGTAACCTGCTACCTGCAATTCTTAGGTCTTGGGGTCCCCCTGTGCTGCCAGGTGCTGGTGGTGAGAGGCACTAGGGTGAGGGTGCGGTGGGGTGCCTGATTTAAGGCTGGGATGGGATATGTGCCAGGGCTCAGGGCTCACCTTGGGCTGGGGTTCTGTTTTGTGAGGCAGATGGAGCCCTCTGTCTTGAGCCCGAGCCTTGGCAGTGGGGGTCAAGGGCCTCCTCTGCCCCCAGCTCCAGGTGGAATCTTCGATGTCCTTGGCCCTGCCTGGGGTGGATGGGGTGTGCTTCCGCATCCTGCCTGGGAGGACGATGAGGGCTTAGCTGTCTCCCTGCCCTCTCCTCACAGTCCTGGAGCCCAGAGTGGTGGCTCTACCTCTTCCCTTGAGAGAGAAGAGGACAGAGCACAGAGAAGCTTCCAGAGCACACTTGATGCCTCATAGCACAATTTAGATGGTTTGGAGCACAATTGTGAAGTACACTCCCTCTCCTCTCACTGCGGGCCCCACTTTCTTGCTAGCGGCAGCTTCTCCCCTAGAATGGGGTCCCTGGAGTTCACAGGCTCACACCTAGGAGGCCTCATACCTGGGGAAAAACAGAAAATTTCACTGCCCCTTTGGGCTGCCACTCACTCTCCGGACACCTTGAAACCTTTCCCAAGCTGCCCGGCCCATGGTGAGGAGAGCCACAGGCAGTGCTGTGGACACTGGAGGCTGCCAAGGGGAAGGGCCGAGCCTCTGTCCTGGGGCCCAACCCCCACAGCATCTCCACCCACCCTTACCTTTGGGCCTCCCCCAGAAGAGGGCTGCCCTCGGGGTGCAGGCTGGGAGAATTAGAACCTGACCTGAGAATAAATGTCTGTGGAGAGATGGATGGAGCCATGGAAGGATGGATGGTTGGGTGGATGGATGGATGGATGGATGGTTGGGTGGATGGATGGATGGATGGAAGGAAGGAAGGAAGGCTGGGACAGCAAACCTCCATCTTTGTGAGCTGTGGTGAGCAGGGCAGGAGCAGACCGCAATGCTAGGCCTGGGACCTTTGCGGAGTGTCCTGACTCACTCAGCACTGGGAGGGACAGACTAGGCCCGGGGTTCCCTCCTTCACGCCTTAGTCCCTTGGTCCCTCCCCCACCCCTTCTCCCATTTCCAACCCTCTCAGCCCCATCTGTCCTTGCCGAGTGTGTGAGGGGAGAGGGAGACCCACCCACAACAGCCCGCCTTAGGCCCCTCACCTAACAACATCTCTCACCTGGCCCCATGCCTAATCCCAAGCAGAATTAGCAACAGGAAAAGCAAGGACCTGGGAGAGACGCTCTATGTATACTCTTCTATAGATTCTATTTCTATTGTATATTCAATCTGTACATGTGGGTGTAAATGCTGTTAAATGACAAACCCAATATTATACTGTGGCTGGTGGACTATTTTCATCCTCAGTGCTGTACAGATCTATTTTCATTGTATATTTGATATATTTTTAATTTTGTAGCGTGTGGCTGGGCCGGGCCCCAGCCTGCCAGCCTGTGATGGGGGCTGAGCTTGGGCCGTCTGCTTGATCCTTGTGGGCTCGCTTGTGCTTGTAGCCTTTGCTGTCGGCCAGGCCCTGTCCTGGCTGTGTCTCTGCTGTTAGATGTAGGGCCCAGAGCTTGGTGTGTGTGTGCGCGTGCATGTGTATGTGTGTATGCTGTGTGCACATACGTGGGTGTGGGTGTGTGTAGGTGCTGATTTGTGATTCCCAGTGTTCACTCCGTTCCTGAAGACCACACTGCCCTACCCCCGCCACCGCCGCCTCTCTGTGCATCAGGTGAGGCCTCAGGACAGGGTCCGGAGGGAAGTCCCCTGCTGTGGGAAAGGCATGTGTTTCTTGCTGGTGACTCATTGCCTTCACACCACTGGGTTTGCCAGAAACAGAGAAGGAGGGGCCTTGGGGGGAAGAAGCCCCCAAATTTATTTTCCAGCCAACTCTTGCTGTTCCCACTGGAGTCAGAAGCTCTTCATCGGGAGGAACAGTCCTGGGTTTCTTAAGATGGCGAGACCACCAAGAGGGCATCTCACAGCGCCTCTGTCCCGTGTTTGTTCTTGAGGCAGTCCCGACTGTTCAGAAAGGAACAGCTGCCCCTCCCCTGGGCTTCTGACACACCTCTGCTCACTCCTCAGGGGAGCTGGGGGCAGGGGGTGGGCGGGGGGGGCCAGTGGGGTCAAAAGCAGATGGGGCATCTGACAGGTAAGATCCAGCCCCAGATTGCCTGAGGAGCAGGAGGTGGCCGGGGAGGGGCAGGCCACCACGTCCCTGCCCAGGGTCCCCACCCCACTGGCTTTGGTGCTGTCCATGCAGCGCCCACAGGAGACAGAGCGGACTCTAGGGCAGGGCACAGCCTGCCTGAAAGAGGTCCTTGCCCTCCAGCCCCGATCACCAGCTTCTTGCTCAGGGAGCCCTCTGCACGGAGGCAACGTGAAGCCCGAGGCCCAGATGGGGGTGGACAGGTGGGGCATAAAAGTTGATGCCAGAGAGGTTGGCTTTTGCCCTCCAGCAATAACTCTGCCAGACACTGCTTTCCTAGTGCCGAGAGAAGCCCCCCGAGTCAGCCCACTGTAGGCCATGAGGCTGGGGGCCAGAAGCCGCGTGGTCCCAGGCCCTGAGCAGGCCTGCGGTATTACGGACAGGGGCCTGCCCTTCTGCCCTTCCTCATAGCTGCACCTCCCCTCCCCGCCAGAATAACTCCCCACTGTGGAAAAGAGAAGAGACTGAACAGGTGGGAATGCCCCTGACTCCCTGAGCATCCACTAGGCCCTAAAACTGGGGGCCTGCTGCTCCTCCACTGGGGCCTCCGGGCTGGCACTGGGGTGGGGGCCCAGGGTCCCTTCCCGTCCTGAGCACTGCTTTGTACAGACCCGAGCACACACAGCAGGCATCACTTTAGGTTCTGGTGCAAGTTCAGAACAATTCAAGTCCGTATGCCCCACGGCTAGTCAGAACCCTGGGTCAAGACTGCTCAGCCCAGGGGAGGGGACGAGGCATTGTCACCCCGGAGCCCTCCTTTCTCTCTACCCCCACCCCCCATCGTGTATAATAAAGTGTCTGTTCTTATCAAGGGCCTCTTGCCTCTCTGACCTGCCCAGGATCCGGGAGAGGGGATGGGGAAGGCCGAGGGGCCCGAGGGAGGCTTCAGGTGAAAGCTCCGATGGGATGGGGCGAGAGGACCGCCGTGGGAGTTGTGGGTGCTGGCTGGCTGGCTGAGGAGTTTGGGGAGGGTGAGGAGAGACCTGCACTTATTTTCCCAGGAATTGTCCTGGGTGTCTACAGTGTACACACTTGTAGTGGGCCTCCTTGGGTTCCAGGTACTCAACACACCTACCTCATGGGATCTCTGCAGCGGTTCTCTGAGGGAGATGCTTTGTTGTCTAGGTTTTCCCAGGTGAGGAAAATGCGGCTCCTTCTGTTACCAAAGTGACCTCACTCCGGTGGGACTCCAACCCGCATGCGGAGGAGCTCCGAGGAGGGATCCACGGATGGGCCTTGTACCCATAATCCGTCCCCTCCCCAGAGGGGTCTTTTCTGTTCAGAGTCACAGAGTTGAAACCGAAGCTAAGCAGTCAATGGCACAAGCTTTTATTCAATGGCCAAAGAATGGAGAAGTGGGAACTAAGTTCACAAATCAACTTCTCAGCTCATGGGGTGCATAAGCAGCTGTTATAAGGGGTCCAGATAATGAAGGGGAGGAAAATTCATAGGTTTCAGAGAAAAGGGCAGGTTTTTCTGGGGATCAAGGGTACCACCCCTTTTCTTTCCTTGGTCATATCCTGCTGTTGCCATGGCAATTGTAAACTGTCATGGCGCTGGTGGGTGTGTTATGTAGCGTGGTAATGCATTACAATGAGAGTATAATGAGCTTCAGGGTCTATGTCAGGTCAAGTCAGACTGCCATGTTGCCTTCAACCGGTGTTAACTGGTTTCAACTATATGTCTCAGCCATCTCCTCCTTCCTCTCTTTGTGGTTTCCCATAAGCTAAAGAGAACCTATTAGCTGGTTCTGAGCAGGGCTGCGGTTACTGGCTTATTGGGTCAGTGGGCCGGGTAACACTCCTGAGGTGAGGATGGTGTTTGGTGTCCCCACACAGGGCCTTGCGGGGGAAGCTTCTGCCTTACTGCCAGTAAGAGCTATACCTCTCAGCTCTGTAAGGATGGCATACGTGAAGGCCCACCTCAGGGAAGGAATGGGGGCTGGGAAGGTGCCAGTGTCCAGAGGCCTGAGAACCATGAGGGAGATGGCAGAGGACTCGAGGGTTCGTGGGAGCAAGCGTGTTCTAAGTTCTGAGGGAGCAGCCCCTCTCTTCAAGGTAGCTATCTCTTTTGCAAACTTCAGTAGAAGGTAAAGATGAAATATAGGATTTGACATTACCTATTTTCTCAAGTTTCAATCTCAAGTACGTATTTATTAAGCACCTCCTGTATGCTCGGCTCTGTGAAGAACAGAATGAGCTGGTGGTAGGGGGAGCACTGCTCCTTGCCTCACTCTCAAGGAGCACAAACACTGGAAGAGGCAAGAAGTCTGGCTCGTGGAGGAGATCCCACCCCACTGCCACCCACTCCAGTCTGGAATGGTGCTGCCTGATCTCAGACAAAAGCAGCCAAGGTCCCCAAAGGCACCTTCCACTTCCTTCTGCCATAGAAAAGGTGTTGTTCCAGAAATAGCCACCAGATGGCAGAAAAATCCTTCTCTCTGGATCTAAGTCTACTCACCCTCTGCAGCTTCATCGCTTACTCCTTTGTGGTTTAGTTTATTCATTGAGCAGACATTAAGTGTCTGCCGTGAACAGGCTCTGTGCCGGCTACAGATACACAAACAAATCAGCCC